ACTTACATTTTGCCCAGACTACCTTAAATCCGACTAGTTGCCCCGATAAGCCAGTAACCCCGCTTCGTAGTACAGGCCCCTGGTCTCAAAGGCTTGTTTATGTAAAAATACCTTTGATGGTCATGTTAATTAAAAGAATACTAAGTAGTCATTGATTTAATACCAAAATATTCCCCAGCATGCAATAAAGTGCATTTGAAAAGCCCCACCTAATATTATTAATGGTGCAGTATATCAAAATCTGGATGGGTGGTTTTAAAAGTGGATGGATGGATGGATGGATAATTTAATCTGTTCACTTCGGATCAGCAGTAGATTAAGGCAATGCATAGACACACACACTGTGGTTAACTCCTTAATGGATAAGAAGAGCCGAGGAAAATGCACAACAAATAATCAAGCTATTTTTACGGTTAAATGTACTAGTAGCTGGACCATTGATCGAGTGACTACAACATGGTTGGTTATTTTATGTTACCAATTATTACACAAGTTGAGTATTGTGCAGCCTTTCTGGTTAGCATACTACTAAATTGATCTGTGTACAACAGCTAAAACAGATAAATGAAGTAATGAATACTGAGTGAATGGTAAGTGACTACATTATTAACAGAAAGTCTATTATAATGAATATGAATTATTACATATACCATCGAATAATTTACAGAATAGAACCTTTATTGTCATTGTCTATTTGATTTCTCCTCCAATGCTATATAAATACAGTATAGCATATAAATATTTATACATGAATAATGAACTAAAGAGCAGTAGTGCAATCATATATTCGAATTAGCAGCATTGTAAAGATAGTAAAAAAAAATAGCGACATTGTAAACATGTAACAGTATATTAGAGGATACAGTGCAGAATGCAGTTCAGTGCAGTGACAGTCCATCTCATGCCTGTGGTGGACTACAGTGTCCTGTTGGTCAAGACGTATGGGGGAGAGTCAATTGTTTATACAGAATTATGAAATATAGTGATACTTTAGTGATGAACAGTATATGAAAATACAAAAGCAATGTGATGTAACTGTTCTCCTGGAACAAGATTCAAGGCATAATCACAGCAGATTTGTAAATATGCATTCGCCTATTTGAGAGTGCTGCCATCTCAGCAGGCTGGGACTGTAGAGAATTCCAGAATGGCAGCCAAAGACAGAGCCAGACCTTCTCTCTTCATTCCTTCCACTTTGCCACCTTCACCAGAAAGCAGCAGTCCACAATCTCCTGTTCAGAGATCTTAAAATCTGCGACGATGCCACTGTTTCCGGAGTGGTTCCCCATTGTAGACGTATCAAAGTCCCCATTGGGTTAATAGAGGCATTCTTTCAGTCTCTGCTTGTATCTGCTCTGACTTTTGGCTTGGTGTAAAACACCGTCTTGCTAAAAACAAGGTCTCCACTTCCCAGACGAGACACCAGGCCGGCATCCTGCTCTTGACGTGGGCTTTCAGAAGTGTCTCCGGACATCTCCCAGCACCCTGACGTCGCTTCCCAGTTCCTGAGAACTCATTAGGAGCTCATTACAGCAAACGCTCCATCTGTCGATTCATATTCTCCCACAAATCCAAAACACCCCCCACCACAACCACCACTACCTCCAGCACCATCACCCCCCCCCCACTTGTCTTGAGATTGTTCCAAACTTCATTGCCAAGACAGCGGTCGGGGCACGAATGAGAAAAATGCTGGGGTGTTCCGTATACCCCGTTGTGAGGAGGGTGTTCTGGGCCGAGCTGCGGAGAACCCGGCGCTCTTCGGTTGCTCCTCATCTTGCTACACCGGGCCAACTGTAAGCTTACGGATCTTCCTGCCTGTTCTCCCGTTCCGGGATCACCTGTGCGAGGCTGCAGCCGCCCCTGTTACCGTGGACGGAAATACAAATCGGCACGCTTGTCGCGTTGGCTGCCCTGAATCTCTAAGCGATCCGGCTGCCAAATACAACCTCAGGCTTCCTCCCAAGTTTTTTTTTCTGTTTTACCTCCCGCTTGCTACCCGGCTCTTCCCGACCTGAAGCTGATGTCTTTCGACAGCAGAAGGGAGGATATATCAGGGGGCAGATTGGTTTCCCTGCAGCACAATGTGGTGGTGATGGGGAGGATACAAGCCACGGCCATGGACAGCGACTGGAGGTGGGGATGGACGTTGGCCACCAGAGCCACGCTCCCGTAATCAGTATCACAGAGAATAACACGGGTTATTTTCAAGCGCGGTCAGCATTAACGCTGACACTAAAGTCAAAGGGAAGGGAGGATTTTGTACAGAAAGCCACGAGACGGCACATTAACACCACCCTGGTTTTTAATGATCAGAGCGGAGCTACTCATTACCCATTCCATTTTTAACAAAAAAGGATTTCTCTCCAATAATGACACCTCACACGCTTTGTGCATGCTCTGCCCGCCCAATTTAGCCCCTGCATTAATAAAGGTGCCGACTCGTATTTCCTGCCAGTGCCAGCGAGTCCGTGACATAGCAGAACAGCAAAATATATACAACCAGAAGTAACAACTGTTTTCTCCTTCCCAACGACGCACCATGACAGCTGTGATAATTCCCTCCTGGGGATTTTCATACGATCCAGTGCTCAGGCACTACTGCTGATGCTACGTCGGCCAGATTTCTCCACGTTTGCTGACCCCACCCCCCCCCCCCCACTACAAACCCACCCCACACCATCACTGCTTTAAATAGAAATTGCCATGTGTAGTCAGCTTGGAGCTCAGCTTGGAGCTCAGCTTCTCACGGCCAGAGTGTCTGGTTGGAGGAGGTCCCCAGTGGATTCTTTGCTGATGGAACCCCCCCCCTGGTAACTCTCTGCTTGCATCACTCCCAGTACCTGCTGCCAACGCTGCGCAGCCCCCTTTAATTCGACATACAGGGCGTCGTCGGTAACGCCAGACTTAACGCGTCTGACATGTGAAGGTGTCAGTCTGCTGGGATGAGAGCCTGATGTATAGATGACTGATGGACAACAAAAACATTAAGTGACAACTTCTCTTAGATGTACCTTGGGAACTCTACATGGCTTTCCATTTATACCTCTTTCTGTTATACTACTGAATGACTTTTAATTCACATTTATCGTGCATTTTGTTTCTTTATTTTTAGTTTTAAAAGGAGTGTCTGTGGCACTGAGGTGAAAGGTCAGACTGTCACACCATCACAAATAATTTCAGTCAAATCAGTGGCAATGAGTTCATTTAACTCCACTAAGTACAGCAGTACAAAAAATCCTTTTCAAACCCAGAGAGGGGGTGATGCAACAGCGGGCTGGAATGCTATGAGGAAGCAGCGTGTTTACGCAGAGGTGCAAAGGACATGATGCAGCTGTGGAAATGAGAGTCTGTGTTTTACAATTCATAAAAATCTGTGACTTCTATGCATAACGGCAAGCTACACTGAGTATGCTAAAACGAGCAGTTAAGATGGCATAGGCATTTTGGGAGAAGGTTTGAGGCTGATCTCTCCTTTGTTTGCATAAATTCCCTTTTTGTAAATATCGCTTCTGTGGGTCGCACCGTATATTAAACCACATGACGAATGCATGCATATCGATATTAGATTCTGTGAGATTCCAAAGAGCGCAATTTACACCGAAGTAAATGAGTGGCTTCTTTTTGACGATTAGGTCCTGCGTTTGCCGGTTACGTTTTGAGCCAAATACCTTTAGGAAACGCCGACTGACGCTCCCGCCAGCAGCAAGAAGCAGCATCCTCTTTACGGGTGCCGTGTCGCTCCTCTCTTCCACTCTTGTTGCTGACCCTCTCCCCTCCTCCTACCCAACACCAACCCCCCCCCCCCAACCCCCCTTACTCTCGTTGACAAGCGTCACCCATAAGCAGGAGAAGCTGAAGAGCGGCTCGGAGCAGGCGGCAGCCCCTGTTTTTTTATCCGCAGCTTTTCTGCAGACACCGACAAAGCGATTTACAGACACGCAGGACACCCGAAGCCGTCATCAGACCAGCGGCACGCCAACCACTGAATCTTGATTTTTTTTTTTGTGGGAAAGGGAGGGAGGGGGGAACAACACACAGTCTATCCCCTCTACGAATAATAAAAAAAACACATACCTCCAAATGCATTGCTCTCCCGCTGGCGTGTAACCAGACTGATTGGTTGCAGGAAGGTACGATACCATCCCAGCCGATTTCCACGGAGGATTGTTCCTGGTGGATTGTTTTTCCCCTTTTTTCTTTGGGCTAAATGACACTTGGATTATAAGCGCCGTGATGGACTGAACATAATCATCTGCCGCCAACACAACAGTGCTGCTCTTTTCTTTACGCTAAATCATCCTAAAGTGGAATATAGGGATTTATACAGACACCTGGTTTTCATGTTTTTCTTCGGCTTCGCGAATCCGAGTTTGTACAAATTGGCACCGGACACAAAATATCTTATATTATTTCAAAAAACATATTTCAGTGACTTTCCATATTTCACTTTTGCACAGGTGGGGTGTTTGGAGCGAGAATTGTACTGACAAAAATTATATCGTTGGGTAATTAGTGATGAAATCGAACTGAAGGAAAGTGCTTATTTTAAGAAATTACTTTTCGATACCGCTCTAGAAATGTTATATTTTATGTATCACTATTGTGGCCCAAGTGTGCCTCGTAGTACCTGGCATTCATTTCGTTTCGTTTGAATTGTGGATAACGAGTGACTCTAACGAGACTTCATTACTATATGTGAATAGTTAACCCAAGGAAACACCACGGTTTTGCCCTAAGACAGTAATATTAACTAAAACTTGCTATGGCAGAACCAAAAGCCGTCATCCCCGGATCTGATCAAGTTTTCCAATGAATTGTAGAAACTGGATCTAGTAGACATACGCAGAGAAGTCGTAGTAATGCTAAGAAAAAAGATCCGCGGACTTCACCAAGGCGCTTTCGCAATTTGTAGGGTGTGAAATTAAGCGGCGAAAAGCCCCTGCACCAAGCAAAGGGCTGTGGGCAGCACTTCGCGACTTCGGATCCTCCGTCTCCGATCTCCATTTGTTTCTTTCGTCTTTTGTGTAAGAGTCAACGGCCACCATGGACCTCAAAGAGGAATCGGAGGAGATGGACTGCAAGCAGCCGGTGCCCATTGAAGTTTTCGCCAGCAGATCCACGCTGCATGGCATCTCGCACATGTTCAGCTACCAGCGCATCTGCGTGAAACGATGTCTGTGGATTATGTTCTTCCTGGGATCACTGGGGTTCCTCATCTGCGTATGTGTGGACCGCGTACAGTTCTACTTCGAGTACCCACATGTCACCAAGCTGGACGAGGTGTTGATCTCGACCATGATCTTCCCCACTGTCACCTTCTGCAACCTGAATTCCTTCCGCTTCAGCCGGGTGACGCGCAACGACCTTTACCACGCTGGGGAGCTCCTGGCGCTTCTGAACGGGAGGTGAGTAGGCTACATTACACCTCAGGTTGAGAGGAAAAAGTACAGGAAAACAATTCTATGGTAAAATATGGAGGCTTTCGGGAATATATATTTTATTCTGAAATCTGTGTTTGATGCTGTGACCAGGCTAGGACTAAGATGAAATTTGCTACATGATGTAAGTTTCAAGTTTCAAGTTTTATTTGTCAAATACAGAAACATTCAGTGTAGTAAAATGCTTTTTCCACCTGCTCCCTGGATTGTGCTCAAAAAGGGAATGACGTAAATATAAATTCAATTAAAATAATAACAATATGCTAAATCAATAATGTAGGCCTGCATACTTACCAATTAACTTTGTAGTCTCACAACTTTTTCATACTCGAAGTGGGCGATGGTGGCTTAATGGTTAGGGATGCGCACTTGTAATTGTAGGTTCGAATCCCTGATCAGCAAGGCACCACTGAGGTACCCGGAGCAAGGTACTGCCCCCAAGCACTGCTTCTCGGGCGCTGAATTAGCTGCCCCCTCCTACGTCACATATAGGTTAAATTCTAAAAAAAAGAAATAGAATATTGGTTCTAGAATTAAAACGATATTTGATTGGTTTGTTTATCTTAGAAACATTTTAGACGTACAGTCACAGACCAAGTTACAATATAGGCCTATAATTGTGGACGAGAGGAAGCGGGTGATTTAAATGCTGTCAAGGAGGTATCATTGTGTCCTTGCCTGGTGGTTCAATTATTGTTAGTAGATTATGAAGTTTCTAAACAAACGTGGAAATAAAAAGTGAATATCGTAACAGCTGAACTGCAGCGTACTTATAAACTTTAGTCTTTTATGTCACTTTGCGCCCAGTCTCTGCTCGTTTGCTGCAAAACAGTAATCGGGTCTGAATTCGTTTCAGAAGCAGCTATTAATCCGCGATTAATCGCATGAAGGACTCTTGATAAAATGGAAATCGAGATCTTAGGCTTTTGCTAATTACCAAGCAAATTACTTAATTAAAAAACAAACTCATTGCCAGCTCAAAGGAAGATTGAATTTTCAGTGCAACATTTGTCAATTTCTGGAGCTTATTAAAGGCTATATGAAGAAAGTTTTGCTAGATAAACGACATATGTTTCTCTCTTCCCGGGGACAGTCTTGCAAAAGTTGAACTTGCCAAAACTGTTAAATTAGCGAGTGTTGCTCTCTCTTTTGCTCTGCCCTTCAAAATCGGCTGCTGGCAGTTTGGGCCAGCAGGGAGTTGATTTTAATACCGTTAATTCTCAAATAATTATGAGAAACAATGATAATTGGTTCACTGTTGAGAAAGTGACCTTTGGTTTTGCATCAGAACTCTTTGAAGTATTGCGTTAGGGTGAATTTCACACATGACCGCCCCCTTGTTTTTCTAATTGGACCCAGTTTGGAGGTTGTTTTCATTAACAGTATTTTTTTGCTAGTAATTGTAGGCTATAAATAACTTTAGTCTGTAACAATACATAACTGTCATTTAATTTTTTTCTTTGCTGTGACATTTCCACAATTTGTTAATTCATAAATGCTTTAAAGTTTCCCTTAAATTTGCATCAGGTGTGCAGCTTGACAACCTAAATCGACATTTGTATACGCAGTACTGTGCGGAAGTCAAAGAAAAGGTTTAAGGCTATTTATCTTGGTAGTGATTGTACATTTGCTCAGAAAAAAAACACAATTTAATATTATGAAGTATGCAAATTTACAGTAACAATAAAAAATAAGAATTTCACATGTTCTTTAAAAAAAATTAACGGTAGGCCTATCTTGTTGGACAGACAGATCAGCTGCGCTTTGGTTCCCAAACCTCTCCTTATAGGGGCACCTTCGTTACATTTCTGCACCATCTCAATTAGAGAATTAACTCAATTTGTTAAATAATTCAATGGAGTATTGATTAGCCAAGCATGCCGTGCTAGTGGTCCAGTCAAAAAATAAATGGGTGTATTGGACGGTTGTTGTAATCCTGTGGTGAGTTAAAGAAAGGTTTTGAAATGGCTAAGCTGACACACTTTGACAGATATGATATCATAGTATTATATCAACATGAAAATCATTTAAACAATTTCTGTGACTTTTGCACAGTACTACACACACACACACACACACACATATGTGTGTGTGTGTGTAGTGAATACTTTGATATGAAAATTCAGGTGCCCTTTGGTCTTTCTGATCTTCGGTGAGTTTAAAAACGTATTTTCCAGTAGATGAGTTGAACTTTTGAAGACAGTTTTAGAGGTTTTGAAAAATCTAAATATCTAAAACCTATGCTCTGCATACTATTATCAAGAGATGTCTCCCTTATACCTGAAAAGAGTGAAAAATGAAGGTGAGCGGGGAAAAAAAATCACATCTCATCAAAATGGTAATTTTATTTGGCCAGTCAGCTTTTGTCTTTCAGCAGGTCAGTCAGTCAGCAGGGGTGCCTCTCAGGAAGACAGACTGGTAACGCATCTGTGGCCATCACTGAAAGCGGAACAGGCTGTAGCTCTGCGGGGGGGGGGGGGGGATTCTCTCCATCCAGCTAGCATCTTATCCTACGGGGAAGTAATTGGCAAATTTAAAAAAGTTACCGAAGCTCCTTTGTCACCTGTCAGGAGTCTAGAGTTGGACAGAAGGACAGATGTGACTGTATCATAATTAGCAAGATGTGGCGGCTGCTGTTTTTCCATTGTGGTTTTTCCAACACCTCAGTTTTGAACCCATGTATAAAGCAAGTGACGGACAAAGGTTGAACAAAAGGAAGAGTTCCGTGGATTTCGAGTACATTGTAAGAAGCAGACTAAGCTCTTTAGTGCTTCATGCTTTTCTGGTTATTTTTAGCATATCGATTCATAGAGCATTCTAAGCTTAGGGCCCCCGACAGCCTGACTTGGAATATATATTAGACAGTCATAAGTACACTTGCCATTAGTAAAGGGGGGAGGGGGAGCCTTCTTGGGTTTCCAGCATTTGTCGGTGTGGCTGAAAATGGGAAGGCGATGAAGTGAAGGTTTCCCGGGCCCAGACCCTGCACCACCACTGTGGGGGGAGGGGGGGTGTTGGTAGGTTGGAAAAGGGATCCATCCATCCGTCCGTCTTCCAAACATTTATCGCGTGTAGGGTCACGGGGAGCAGCAGACACCCATTACAGGAAGCCCTGCCGTCCGCGGCCATATCTTCACGTACTGTGGGCAATTCAGAGACACAAATTCACCCACCTGCAGATTCTCAGACTGCAGGAGGAAACGCACATCACACAGGGAGACCATGCAAGCTCCACACACAGCGCAGGGGCGGGCTTCGAACCTCCAGCCCTGCTGGTGTCAGGCAGCACTAAAAAACAACATGAAGTCCCCTAAATAACCTGCAGCAGTTCTCCGGGGCGGGGGGAGGCACTAACATGGAGCCACATGAGCTTCTCATTATAAAACCTGGTTGTAATCAGGTATGCAGCAGGGAATGGTTTAAGATAAAATATAGAAACTGCTGCAGGCTCATAAACGTGTCAGTGAAATGAATGTACATGCTTAAACGAAGCGATGTTAGTCCTTACTTCATGACAGTTCTATCCAGTAAACATAAGGGGGCCGATATGTAGGTATAATCCTGCCCTAGAATCTGCGTTTAGTGGGTAACTAAAAGGAAATGGTGCTGAGACAGTCCAGTCAGTTAAATGTGACTTACTGCAGCCGTGTATCTCCTTAACAAGTGAGTATGTGTGTGTGTGTGTGTGTGGCGGGGGGGGGGGGGGGGGGCATGCAGTCCTGTGCATATGCAGTACCCAGAGGCAACCGGGCTGCCTGACGGTTCCGTCGCTGACTCTGCTGAAACCTGCCTGCTGTCCTCTGCTTGCTTTTGTCTCAGTTGTGTGGGGATGTGTGTGCGTGTTGTTATATCAAGGAGCAATTCCCAAAGCATGGTAGAAATAAATACACATGTCCCGTGATCTCTACCTGGCGTGTCAGAAATCACACGTGTGATTGTGATTGACATATGGCCTGAGTAGATTCCCTGCTTCCCCCTTCACGGATCCACAGTGAAAAGACAACAGCAACGGACTGCTTAAGATAAGTATTCCCATCTGCTCTGTACAGAACAGATTTTATGCATTGAAATCCAAAGTCGCCCAAATCACACTGGCGCCCCCTATAGCTACAGAGAGTGTACCGCCATCCCTCAGGCAATAAGAACACAGAATACAGAAGAATACAGAATTTCATCCCATGTCTCTGCATTTCTTTAGAGCTTTATGTAATGCACCGTTTAAGAGACCCACATTCCGGCTGGGGCGTCCCCGAGATGCGGGTGGGTGGAGGAGGGGTCGTGACGGGGCCGATTATCGGCTGAACCGCGAGATTTCACAGACGGCGCTAATTACGCAGGGATAAAAGCTTGTTTACCGCCAGGCTTATGAGAAGCCGTCAAATTGCCTCTTTTTGTCATCCTTCCTTCTCCCCGTTACCCCCTCCGAGGACTCTGCGTCCCCACTCTCCTCCCCTTTTATATATATCAAAAGGCGACTAACTGTTGCAAAACGAAATGGTTAATTTTCTTCCTTTAAAACTTTGCCCAGGAGAACATCGCCACCGCCAGCCCCATCTGTCCTCAATAACCAACCGCCGCCTGTCGCACCGTTACTCTTTTCCCTCCACCGAGAAACGTCGCGAGGGAGAAAAAGGGAGGGAAAAAAAACGTGTCTGCTCCTCCCTCGAAAGAGAGTCTGAGGCATTAAAACGGAGGGGTGATGTAGCTGCAAGGCTTCCTTTTGATAGTATTTCTGTGATGCACGCTGGCGCTTGGATCCGATGTGTAACGCGAGGTTGTCGGGGGGTTTTCTTTTCTGGGTGTATGGCGTCTAAGTCTGAAGAGGAGGGAAAAAATGAAAAGGGTCGAAGGAGGTGGTGCGGCTAATAATAGCAGAAATAAAAACGTTACTGAGATATGCGCTTTATTCTCGCTAAGATGATAAGAATACTGATGGGAGAGGAGCTATTTTAAGGTTTAATAGAATG